TGGCAGAAGCAAGTCAACACGCAGTTCGCGTCTAGGAATGGAAGAGCTAGGCATGCACGAGTATAGTGCAAAGTTTAAAGATGGAGAGACAGCGTCGAGGGCCCACGGGCAGCTTGGACCTCTCTTGATCCCACGCAACCGTCGAGGGTAGTTGGCAAGTGAATATGTAGCGAATGAGTTAGTAACAGTGCGGTATTAACACGAGGCACGTTCGCCATACGAGACTCTGCTATGTGTTCCTCACACTAACTGAATTTTTTTGGCCAGCTGTCGCATACGCTTAGGCGACGGATGACGGCTATAAGCCTATAAGACTGGACCTCGCCTATAACTGCTGCGTGGGACATGGTGGCTCTATTTGCCCGACTCTCTTTGGGATGACGGTGGAAGTGATCGGAGGGGAACGACGGCTAGACGTGATCGTCTTCGTCTCGAGTGTTCGCTAGGAGGGCGCCCAAACCTGAGTGTCAACAGGGGAAGCAGTGTCGGTGGAATATGCCGTCTTTCTCACGATATTTGGCCGCTCGTATGAGCTGAAGGTTGAGTGCTAGTAGTGGAGCAGATGCTCATACCAGTGTTAAAGGGTCGCACCAACGCATGCGATAAGCTTTGAGCGTCATCGTCTAGAAAAGCTCGTAGTATTTACGACTCGCGGCCGCTGCTGCTGTGCCGTGATGACCCTGTTTCCGGCCCAGGGTTGCCACGAGGCCGCTTCCGCAACCAATGACTAACCCCTGCTAGTTCTAAACGTTCGCTTCGCACCTGCCTTGTTCCTGAGGCGCACCTTCCTCGCTCCTGCCCCGAACTCACCAACGTTCTCGCGGCATGGCGGAGAGGCGCGCACCGTCTGCACAACTTCACCGAACTACCATCGAGTCAATTGCACTACGACAGCACAGGGCACATGTTTTCTTCTCAACAACACGTCCTTCACAAGCGCGCATCACCTCCTCACCAGTAGCCAGGGCCATTATTCAATCGCCAGCGGCCCTCTGCTGCCTCTCCCTGTTGCCCACCTGGTGGGCCGGCTTTCCTACCGCTTTCGTGCAAATCACCGGCGTTGATAAACCACCTGGCAATTGAGCAGCCGGTCCGTAAGAGTAGCGATAGATGATGATGGCCGATATGCTGCATCAGGTCCGCTTTACATTGCGCTAGACGCGAGCACCTGATGCTTCACACCAGCTTTGCTACTCGCCTCCGCACTATCCTGCAGATCGACATGTTGCAACCAAAAGGCACCATCCGTCGCGACCATGCGCTGTGCTCGATGCTAAGGGTGGTGCCGCTGCGCACATCGTGCAGATCACCCTAGGCATTAATTGCGTGACGATATAGCCTACCCCACGAATCGCCAGACATGCGAGGTTAGGCCCGCGTTTCATCCGGCTCCCACCAAACCCATCTAGGACGCGCCCCGACAGCCTAGATAGTTTTGCTGTTATTGGTACTTTGCCTTTGCAGGGGCTCTCCTCGTTGCTGCAGGTATCAACACTAGTGCCTGTGAGCCACACTTAACCCGCTGCAGTGTCTTTTTTACCACATACATGCAGGGAAAGCCTTCATGTTTGACATGCCCGCCTCCCGAGTCTCACCAACCTTGTACTTCAGACAGTGAGCCACGGCAACCTCAAACGTCCGTCATGGCACACATTGCCAATTGCATGCGCTCCGATTCCGACAAGTCTTCTGTTTATATAACTCTAGAAACGTCCTCCAGGATGGTAAGCCACTCAGCTCCACTCTCCATTGCAATGAACTATCATTTGCCCCGACGTTCACGCTCACTCAGAGATATTCAGGCTGCCAGAGATTCCCAATCGCCAAGTGCTTCTTCCCACACCAAGAGTCCTTCGCTAGCAGCCCTACATCAGCCTGCTGCATCCAAGTACCAACTCTGGCCTTCTGCAAAAAGCCCAGTAGGATTGTCTAAGCCAAACCAATCTTCGGACAAGTTTGCCGCCCTTTCTGCTGGCCGATCTTCTACATCTCTTAGTGATACAGCCGTGCTGCCAGAGAGCAGTCTACCCTTTTGGCAGCGAACTGGATCCTTGTCAAGAAGAAGAAAAGTCAGTGTGCCCGAGCTTGGAAGCACTATGACTACTGTACAAGAGATGTCCATCGACTCCCGTAAGTTTCTCCTCAAATTCCACAATGTTCGAACGATTGCTTACAATGTCATCAGCGACCATCCCTGGGAGGCCACCCCTTCGTAAGCTCTCATACGAAGCTTTTGGCCATGAGAGATCGTGCAGTGCTCCGGGTACTAACTGGAGGACCGGACCTTTTGGAGATGCAATGATGGCTTGCGTAACAGGTCCTTCTCACGTTCCAGCTCAAATCATCAACGCCCCTCCTTCTTCTGATTTCCCCAACACCTCCGGAAGACCACTTTCTCCTATCCTTAGTCCTGGTGCAACACCCAGACCCTACCTCAAGGTCCAGACCGCCAGTACGGAAGAAGAAACCCGTCCACAAGTACCACCTAAATCACCCGCTGTCGAGCGTAAAACTTCACCAGCCCCGCTGATCCTCAACTCGAAGACAAGTCGGCCACAAATGACAACTCCCGCCTCGACGACTTCGGGAGGTAACACACCATTGAGTGCGATGGACCTTCGAAGATCGCCCAATGGTAGTATCCCACTGCCTACTCCACCGTCGACTTTTACCAATCCTTTCTATGCATCTTCACCTGCATCCAACAGAGGTTCGCCACGCACCGAGAGGAGAGATCCTATCGCAACGCAATCGTTAGCTCACAATCGAAACATGTCAGAGTCGTCGATCATGGAAAGAGGCCGACCTAAACGACGCAACAGCAAGAGAGAACGCAGCAGGACTGTATCAGAGGCAGACGGTGCAGAAGCTATCCCAGACTCTTGGAAGCTGCCCGAAGGCATGCGCGTATCAGAGGCTGCGAGACGAATGAGTGATGCCGACAAGAAGCTTCTTCACAAACAGGCATACGATCAGGCTGGCAATTTTGAGGTTCTGCACAAACGCGACGTAGCATCATTATCAAGAGTAAGCTCTTTACATCCTTGTCAAATCGACTAAAGCTGACATCGCTACAGGAACTCAGAGCTCTCGACGAGCGCTGCGATTACCTCCGAAAGACCTACAAGTCTTTGCGAGCGGGTCGCCAAAAGCTGCACGGTCGTATGATCGCTTATCTCAGGCGCGGAGAAACAGTCATCTTTTCACGCGAATCACTCCTCAAACAAGAAGAGGCCCTAGCCGAGCTGGACATTTCGATCGACGAGTTCATCCTGAAACTTGAGCAGGCCGAAAATCGCCGCTTGCGACTTCGGCAAAAGTTACTTGAGCATGTCGCTGCTGCTATCGTGCTCAACCCTAGCGCTCGGGACCAGGTAGCCGAAACTACACCACCACGAAGTCCTGTAAAGGTCGATAGCCCTTCTCGACATCAACGAAAAGAGACCGAGTCAATCAAAATTTACGCCGATGGCCACGTTCTAAATCTCTTCTCTGACATCGAGAAGGCCATCGGCAAGATGTGCGAACAGACATGCTAAGGGCCTCATGAGAAACACATCTTCTATTCCACCAACTTCGATACCCTCTTCCTTGCCTTTGACGGCCTATCATTAATTTCTACCTCTGGACATCTCACGACTTCATTTGTTTGTACCATAACGACCGGAGCACACGCTCCTCTTACCGCTATCTCTTCTATCTTTCTGGACTGGCTGGACTTGACGTTTGTGTACACAAAGGAACGCTTTCATCATCGACATTCTGCTTTATCGTATACGTTGGCATCTATACCCAAGCTTTTGCCCATCCTTTCAGTTTTTTTCCAAGTATTCTTTTGCACACCAATACTTTCTCTTACATCACGATGTCAAAAATGGCGATGACCATGCCGGGGTGGCGTTTCATGTTTGAGCTTTGACAAGGGTAGGACGCTGTTGTGGCGTACCATGTATGTATCTAGATACCACCTGCAGGGGTGGATGAATCAAGAATGACATCTGAAGTCAAACGTTTCAGTCTTCTTCCAGTATTTCTTGTGTCACTGATCCTGCCCAGAACTAGGCTCGAGACATCGTCATGCCTCGAGCACACGGCTTGAACCTGGTACGAGATATTACACTGACGACCCTGGTAGGTACGGCGCCCAGCTTCCTTCTTCTGGATAGGCCTGCGACAGCAACTGTCACGACGATAGTAAGTAATTTGCCCATAAGTACAGCGGGGGAAGCGGTACTTTGCGCGACAGGAATTGTGTATTCTAGAGCTCAAATTGTTTCATTGAACTACGTACCGCACGTGGCCAGGCTGGAGCCCTTGTGATAACATGGCTATTATAGTCTGTTTCAACGGGGGCATCGCAACGCCTTGAAAGGTGCCCAATGAAACGGAAATACGGTGGGGCAAGAACATGAGAGGGGACTTTGCCCAGAGTATCGTTTCTATAGGTTACCAGGGGGTCTATATGTGCTACGAGAGGCTGCACGCACATCCGCGCAGCAGTCATATCAATTTTCTTGATCCCACCCTTGTTTGATCGAACCAGCTTTTGCAGGTTTCGCGAGAAACATGGCAGCAAGAATTGAGGACCCGTCCGGAGATGGAGGACACGCCTAGAACACCCCGCGAGCTGGACACGGATCTCGGCCGCCGTCAAGTTTCAGAAGGCGACTAAATGACTGTTGGGTACATCCCAACGCACGGCACGCATCGAGTATCCGACCTGAAAGACCAAATGTATATTTGCCGTTTAGCAGAGATGAGCTCACTTTGAAGGCGCGAAAGTGGATTGTGGTCGAGATGCCGCAGATAAGTGTAATCGGTGGGGTCGGCTTGCTCTGCCGCGGTAGGACTATCCAGAGTCTTTGTGCCGGCGCCACCTTTCTCCGATCCTTCTCCGCACGGGCCGTTGCCCGCGTTTTTGCGCGAAAAAGTTCACTCTTTGGGCGACGACGTGACGAGTTTCAGACATCGACATATTTCCCGCCATTACTCTCACCACCATGGCTACCAACAGCATCAAGTTACTGACCGGCAATAGCTATCCTGAGCTCGCAGCTCTAGTAGCTGATCGGTACGTTCAAGTTCTTACCTCTTGACGCTCTTTGAGGCTACGACTTGGCATGCACATGCCCAACGGTTGTCACGCCTTCATCACTACCACCACGCAACAGATATAGCTATCACCAGGCTTGCAAAGCTATAGAGCACATTTTTAGACGACCATATCATTTTTTCTTTTTCGAGAGTCAAAACAGGGTGCTCGACTGTCGCGCACCTGCTCGAGCAAGATCGCTAACGGAATCACAGACTTGGAATCGAGCTCACCAAGATCCTCGTGCTTCAATACTCGAACCAGGAGACTTCCGTGACTATCGGAGAGTCGGTCCGAGACGAAGATGGTATGCATCATCTTTCTCTGGGAGCGAGCACCAATGTGTCCGGCTTTCCTCAGCTTACCATAATGCAGTCTTCATCCTGCAATCTACGCCACCAGGCGATATCAACGATGCGCTCATGGAGCTGCTGATCATGATTAATGCGTGCAAAACGGCTTCTGCTCGCCGCATTACTGCTGTGATTCCAAACTTCCCTTATGCTCGCCAGGATAAAAAGGACAAGTCACGCGCGCCTATCACGGCGAAACTCATGGCAAACATGCTTCAAACTGCTGGTTGCAACCATGTCATCACGATGGACCTCCACGCCAGCCAGATTCAGGGCTTCTTCAATGTGCCTGTAGACAACCTCTACGCAGAACCGAGTACGCTCAGATGGATTCGTGAGAATCTGGACGTCAAGGACTGTGTTATTGTCAGCCCAGATGCAGGTGGTGCAAAGAGGTAAGATCACGCCACATACGTTCGCCAAACACTGGTTCGACTATCTGGTGCCGAGTGCGAGAGTGCGCAACCATGCAACGGTGTAAACTCAAGACCCTGAAGCGTTCCCTTGTGCCATGTTGGAGCGTCGGACTGCTCTCCGCACCACGGCTTCGAGAAGGTACTAGTGCTAATACATTTTCAGGGCAACTTCGATAGCCGATGGCTTGAACCTTGGCTTTGCCCTCATTCACAAGGAGCGAACACGCCCGAATGAGGTTTCGCGAATGGTTCTGGTCGGAGATGTACGAGGCAAGACGGCCATCCTGGTCGACGACATGGCCGACACATGCGGAACGCTCGTTAAAGCGGCGGACGTGCTGATCTCCGAGGGTGCAAAGGATGCGCTCGCAATTGTCACACACGGCATTCTGAGTGGCAACGCCATCGAAGCTCTCAACGGCAGTAAACTCAAGAAGATTGTTGTCACCAATACCGTACCTCATGAGGATAAGAAGGAGCTGTGCGATCGTATCGAGACGATTGACATCAGTCCTACTGTACGTAACTCATGCCTTCGAAGATTGCCGCTCTAACAACAAACAGCTTGCCGAGGCCTGCAGGCGTACCCACAATGGCGAGAGTGTTAGTTTCCTCTTCAAGCACGCGCCTGTCGACTAAGGAAGACGCTACCGTTCTACCAACGGCAGTCCTTTAGCATATGAATTAACGGCGTCACGAGCGGTATAGGCGTTAGGATCAACATCACGATATGAACTATTCTTCACACGACAGACATGATGAGTCTATGAAGATCTGCAGATCGCCTTTCAGATCACGCAACTAGTAGTGAAGCCACTGCTGCAGCACGTGGCGTCGCACTAAGTGCATAAATTAAATTGCACGTTTCTATAACATCCTCTTCCCGCTAAAACGTATGGCAGGTGCGTCTAAACTAAATCCGCTGTCAGCCGGGTTTGACATGTTGGCGCCAAAGGACGCCATGGTGAGGCACTTGTCTAATCCGTCACGTTGCGTGATGCGAGCTACCAGGTTAGTCTGCTTTTAGCCCGGAGCAGTTCAAACTTTATGTCATCGTCAAACTACATACTACCATCCGCAAGGAGGTTTCACGGCTTACAGGATCTCTGTGATCAGTACCCTGCATGTTGAGTACGAATGGTTGATCGCCGCTAAATATCGCTTGCGGACGTCTAGTGGCACCATGCATACGCGACGTATCGGTCTGCATGGTGATAGTCATGGCATGCAGCCACAGTCAGCGCCCGCGAACTGACATCAAACGATGATCGACGAACTCGCGTAGGTGGGCATTCCGGGCTAGTGTTCTCCGACAAGTTTGCTCGCCTCCGCTACCTCCAGACGCTCCACATATCACAACGAGCATACCCGGATGGAGATCGTGCAATCAAGACTCGGCGGACTCCGTGAGCTCCACTTCCCACTACTCGGCGGTTTCCGTTCCCATAACTCGAGTCACATCATGAGTAATCACACTAGATTTTTCCGAGTCAAGATGCCTTTATTCCTGAAGATCTCCTACGACTGCCGGAGCTATTCACAGACCTCAACCCATCTTGGAGATCACGATTTCCACTTGAACCATTTTGGTCTTCTGCTCCGACCCGATGCGTGACTAAGTTTATCTTGTGGGTTGACCGGAAAGGCGATCTGGGCACTTCCGAGAAAGATGGGCTTTTAAACTTTCAGGTTTCACGATGTCGGCCTTCATTGGCGCCGCATGTGCCGATGCCGAAGTTCAGCCACTGCGGTAGCATGTCTAGTGTGTGGCTGAAGAACTACGTGTAACCTGGGAAGCCACCGCTGCTTGTCTAGAAAAGGACAGATCCGAGCGATGCGGTGAAGTATGAGTTAGCTCGTAGCTATAAGTCTGCAAGCGGTTACAGAAGTAGACGACCGAGTTGTGCAACTATACTAAGCACACGATCATGGATTGTGATCAACATGTGAGTCTGAGAGAATTTTGTTCAATACGACATGAACGAGGAAACGAAAAGTTTGCCCATGAGCAGGAGATCGCCCCATCTATACGCCCTTTTACTCAGTTGATTGACTCCTGCACTTTATGCGATGCTTGCTTTCCAATTCACTATTTTCATACACATGCTTTCAGCTGAAGCTGAAGTTTATGTCTAAAAACCCCCAAGCGCACCCCTCTGTATCCACGAAGGGAACTGCACGCCGCGCAGTCAAACAAGCTATAGTAATCCACCCCTCCTCCCCTCCTCCTCCATACATGTCCGGGAAAGTTTTCGGCACCCCGAGCTGCCTCATAGATTTACATAGTCCGAGTCGTCGCATCATGTATTGTACCGTATGCATACAAACAAGTAAGCAGGCTTCAAAGGTCCAACGACCGAGCAAAGCACAAGGGTCCCGTATCAGCCATCGTTCGAGCGAAAATCAGCGTCAGAAGGAAGCTTCAGTGCAACGATCATATGCACATACCCCCAGCCCCCCATGTCTCGCATCGAACATCACTCCTTGCAAATGGTAAAACCCCACGTCCAAAAACCAAAAGTATAAAACCCTCTTCCTAGCGGTCCGAAACAAACCCTATGTTGCGCAATTCAGCTGTACGACACATCCCACTCCACCGGATAAAAAGGCCTCGTTACGAGTAACATCTCAAAATACTGGAAACTGGGCAAGGGTTCATATACTGTGATACAAACAGCCTTGCGGTCCGAAAAGGTGAACTCTATCATGCGATTTGGACCCTGATGCAAGATTCGGGTCTAGTCTAGATCTGTATCAGATAACGGCCCGAATAGGCAAAGTTTATGGAGAGACTGGGAAGGTGACGCGCTTTTGGGGGCGTGCGGAGCACAGGTCGTGATTTGTAAATACTAAGCGAAGGGGTGGGGGGTTCAAAGTCGGTGTGGTTCGATGTACGCCCAGAGCGTGCGACGCGGGAAGGTGAGGTAGTATCGCCAGTGGCTTGGCAGCTGATGTAGGATTTATCCTTGTGAAAAGTCTAGTTCTCGGACGCTCAATATTTGAATAGTTGGCGTGGTATTCTTTTCAGACATGTATGGTGCATAGACAATAGGATGATGGTCGGGTGGATGGTTAAACTATCGGTATTGGTGAGAAGCTATACGTCGAACCCACAGTGTTTGCCAGTAGTTGTAGTAACGTTACGCTTTACAGATACGTGACCCTTTTGAGGAGTAGCATCTGTGAGTTAATTCGCGCTGCAAACATGCACCAGTTTGTGCGATCCATCTCGTCCATTCAGTGACAAGAGTGGCATGCGCCTAGACGAGTAATTCGTCGTTGGTCTACCTACACCATTTTCTTTATCTATTCGCAGGTATACGAAGAGGTAACTTGAGCTTCATTTGCTAAGTCTCAAAAGAATTCAGGTCGTATGCAGTGGATACAAAATATCTAGGCATACACTGTGGCCATTATCATACAGTACTACTCAACAGCATTTTGTTCATATCGCAGCACTAACATGTTGATCACAGCAATCAAGCAACAATGTACGTAGTAGTTATAGGAGATTGACATTCGCTCACAGTCCTCAAGCAGCTATGTTTTCAAAGCACTGCGCTATTCTTATCCGACTCTTGTCCGCCTCTTACCAACCTAGCTCACCAGCAAGAGCTTTGGCCAAAATTTCCGCCATCGCCGCATGCGTCGCCGCATTAGGATGATAGTCACAACCAACATCTGAACCTTGACTCGGGATATCCACTAGGCTGATGCTCGTGCTGTTTTGGAGTTGCGCGATAGCAGCATTCAGCGCGTTCTTCTGTGTAGTCTTTTGCGCATCTTGAGTGGAGGGATATCCGTCGTTGAGCATAGGCGAAGTCAGAAGGAAGAATGCAGCGTCTGGGTAGTGTTTCTGAATTGTCTTGACAAAGTTTACCATAGCGGCGGTGTACTCTGCTGGGACGATGGGATCCCGGATACCAGCTTGGTAACCAAAGTCGTTGGTGCCAAGATTGATAACCACGGCATCTGGTGTGGCGTTGGCGGGGAATGTGTAGCTATTCAAGGGGTCGAGAGCCCCGTACCGAGTCCAGCGCTGAGGCATAATGTCGCTGGTGTCTGGGGTTGGAGAGACGTAGTTCCTCGTCAGGCCGATGCCGCTCCAAGCGATGATGTCGTAGTCGGCATTCAACGCATCCGCGGCGAGGGCAGCATAGGTCTTGGGGTTGTTTTCAACTGCGGCGGTGTTCACGCATGGGTTCACGCCGTCAAGGCCATATCCTACAGTAATAGAGTCGCCGATGACCTGGATCTTGCGAGAGGGGTACATGTCCGGACCGAATGTGCCATCCGTGGTGATGTTACCAACAGAGATGGTGCCGAAGAGAGCCTCAGATCGTTTACGCAATTCGACAGTGTGGTTGCCGTTCCGGAGGCCGGCGGGTGTTGTGATGGAGGTACCATTTACGTCCGAAATGACAGTCGCCACACCGTCGATGGTCAGCTGAGCACTGTTGGTACCAGTTGTAGCTTCGATTTCTATACTAGCCGATGAGCCTGTGAAAGTGAAGGATACGCCGGTTCCAGGCCATGTCAATTCTCGAGTATCCGGATTAACGCGTCCGAGAAATCTTTCGGCAGTGACAAGGTCGATAGCAGCCAGTAGTACAAACGGAGAGATGGTGAGCTTCATGACGATGGATAGTGAACGGGTGCGCAGTGCATCACGGAGATGCATCTACGGGCATATAAATACTATACAGCATTGTGGTTGAGCCTCCAATCTAACACGGAAGACCGTTCCTAGCTTCGTGCGAGTAGGAGTCAGTTCCGACGCTACCTGGATTGTGGGTTCGGCATATATTACGTGCTGTATGGGAAAACCGGGGTAAGCTCTCAGCAAAGATCTTGTTCTTTCTACAGCCGCAATAATACGCCGTGTGGCAACTCTATGATTGGCTCAGCGATACCTGTATGATGTAGTGCATGACACTAGAAGAATGCGTAGCTATAAACATTAAAACAATGCGGGGGTATAGTGGTGAGCGTATGGCAAGAAGAAGATTGTAATGACGATCGCGGATGAACTGACTGGTACACTAAGCTTGAACGGGAGTGGTGCGGAAGACATAATTTCCACGAACGAAGGCTGCTCTCATCCATTTGCCCGAAGACACGACTAACAAATGTGAAGACTAGAATATTGAGACAGCATGGGTGATGCAGGACCATAAGAGATGTCAAAATGGGTTGGAGATGGAACCTGATTGTGGGCAAGCGCAGAGCCATCTGCCACAACAGCAGGGAATTTTGAAGCCGGCCTCAACGATACATACTAACAGAGAGCTCTACAATCATGATTTCATGGCTGAGTTGTTGAAGTATTCTGATGAATACATCTTCCTCGATGCGAGCCTTGGCCACTCCTTCATCACGCTCCTGTTCATCACAAGGAAAGTAGAGACTTGAACGGTGAGTGTGGTTTCTAGAAGATGTGCGATGACGAATGAGATGGGCGGTCTCGAGGACGCTTCCCTTGATCTATTCTGCTAGAACATGATAATTGAGTACAAAAATAGTGACAAGTCCTCTCTGTGGTATCATTCGCGCTCCGTTGACGCAGTGCAAACAAGGCGCTGTAACGCTGACAAGACGCCGCCGCAATGCATCGAGTCCAATTGCACCAAACTTTTGTGATGGTCTAATAAAGCGCAGGGATCAAAGAGATCTGAGATAAGATGAAGATAGAGGGCGAGCGTACTATGACGCCGTCGGCCTTTCTGGTATTTCATGTCGTTCGGGTTCGTATGTCGTCTCTCCTAAGGATTCTGTAGGTCCAGAGACAGAAGGTGCTGATGGAGCACTTGGGCCTCGAGATGCCGCTGCGTTCAATCGCGCATTCAGTGCTTCCAGAGCCAGAGCACGTCTCCTCTCTGCTTCTACACGGGTTGATCCACCGCGACCCCCCCTGCTGTTGGGGTTCATGATGCTTGGGAGACCTCCTTCGGCACGGGCGCTTGCCTGTTCGTTGCCCGCATCGATGTCTCGATCTGAGAAAGGCGTGCACACTTTGAGCGATACCAGTGCGTTGTAGATGCCGTCGGAAAGTGCGCCAACGGGTGTTTGTATGGGTTCCGGGAAAAAGTGAGCAAAGGAGAAGGTGTCTGAGGCGTCGCCGCGGATGACGGATCCGTTGCCAGTTGCCGTGGACGATAGTGATGGGCTTATGCGGTAGAAGCGAAGGTAGATCCAAGCAGTGAAGAAGCCGAAGTATGCCAGAAACATAGCCGTCTCAGTACCCAGTATCATGCCAGAGATTGTGTTGGCGAGGAGAAAGATGGCGGGGAAGTGCTTGACGCGCATGCGGATGAGGCCTTTGGCGATGGCAACGGTGTGTTCGGGGACGAGCTGCTTGAAGGAAACGAGAAAGCCAGCTTGGATGGCAATGCCGCCGGAGATTGTGGTATGTCTGGACGGCGTCAGTACAAAGTACAGGGAGGGGTGTTGTCTACTCACAAGATGGAACCTTTGCTCGTGAGGAGGAAGCCAACCATGTAGAGCAAGTATGTAAGGACGTTGGGTATCATGGCCACGAAGAGCATGAACTTGGTGAACTCGTGTGACGCCCATGCTCTTTCCAAATAGCGTCCGCCGTAGAAGACGGTGAGTGCGGTGGTGACGAGACCCAGGACATTCTGCTCCACGACCGTCGCCAATGCAAACACCCATGGATACCAAGGCACCGAATAGCCAGGGACTATGGTGAGCCACGGCACGCCATTGCCCACGCCAATGATTGGCTTCTCGACCTTTTCCACCCAGTCGGCGTGCGGACGCAGTGCGAAGTTTATAAGCGTAAAGAATATGACGGCAGCGAGCACGCCCCGAGTCAGTGGGGGCAGGTTGATCCGGGCCATGGCGGGAGGTGAGAGGGCAGCCGGGAGAGGAGGAGGGGAGGAGGAGAGGAGGGTCGGCCCGGGGGATTCCAGACGGGTGGTGGAAGTGGAGAGGGTGAAGGAAGGCAGCTGGCAGGGATCAGCAGCGCTCGGACGGAGATCTGTGGGGACTAGCTCGAGTGCACAGTGCACGGTGCTCGAGCGCTGAGTAGTTGCAGTTCGCAGGGCAGGTAGCCTTCGATTCTCCGACAAGCTTCGAGACCACGACGGCCACGGATCGCGCAACCAAGACGCCCCGAATCCCAGCGTATACACCCTCTTCTCTCCACGGGCGCATGCAGCGCGTACAGGATGCGCCATGGCGGAGACTCTGAGCAGCAACGCGATGAACTATCTCGGTACCCTTTCCCCCCCCCCCTCCCATTCGACGACTCGATTGGCCTGGCCCTTCTGACTTGTGTGTGCAGTATGGCGATACCTTCAGGAGGCCGGCTTCGGTAACGCAGCCTTGCAACTCTCGCGATGCTGGATCCGCGACCCCGACACGCTTCCCTTTGCGAAGAACATCGAACCGCACACACTCATCAGGCTCGTGCAGGATGGCATGTGCTTCGACCAGCTACAGGCCGAGGCTTGCAATGTACGTCGCATACATGCGCTGCAGAGAGCAGTACTGACGGCCGCAGACGGAGCCGCGATACAGGTTCGGCACCGACCACGGACGACCATATTCGGCGCGCAATGGCAACCTCTTGACCCTCGACAAGGGCATACCCGCCCACCAACTCGCCGCCGAAGCCAACGGCGCCGTCCAGGAACCCCCACCAAAGAAGACGCTCAAGCGCAAGAAGACGAAGCCCACCAACGGCGTCGAGCCGCGCCCCGAGCCCCAGGTCAACGGCGATGCCATGGACATCGAGCACAACGGCGCCGCACATGTCACAAACAGCACGAGGGCCGAGTCGGAGCCCATGGTCTCGGAAGCAGAGTCGCCCTCGCTTGCTGACATCCCCATATCCACGCTTAGCATAGGCCAGGACGCTGAGATCCAGACCGAAGCCATTGCCATTGCTGATCTGAATTCCACCACTGTCTCCATTCCTCCGCCCTCGGATCCCGCACGAGTAATCGAGCATACCCTGTGGGGGCCAATAGAGTCTCCCGTACTGCTCGCGGCTGGCAAATCCCTCCTCCAGCTTCACGTCGTGAGCAAGGAGCTCGGCCATGAACCCCCTACCCAACATTTCGACATACCTCTGCCCGTCGACAACTTCAACGTCACGGCGCTGTGCTGGCACTCGGACAACGAACTTACCGTCTCTGTGCGAGAGCAGAGATCCAATGAAGTGGGGGAAAAGATGATGATGGACAAGCTCATCAAGCTTACCGAAGGCGGTCAGGCCTCCCAGGTCGTCTCTTCTACCGCCGGCCTCATCAACACGCTTCGCTGGAATCCGGTCCGGAATTTGCTGCTATCTATTTCGACAGACGGCGAAAAGGGCTCCATCAAGGTGTGGAAAAACGACAGCGACTCCATCCCAGCCTGGACAGAGTTCACCGACACAGCCATCTTCGACGCGCACTGGATAAGCGACTCAGCTTTTGTCGTTTGCGGTATCAAGCTCTTCAAGATCTACGAGGTCAATGAATCCTTGACAATCCAGCAAACTCTCGAGACCTCAGTAACATGGGAGACGGTAAAATATGACGCTGCATCTGGCATCATCGCTGTCTTGGGCATCGAGGATAGGAAGTATTATCTGGGCATTCTCCACCCCAACGATTCGCTGCAACTCCAGACCCATGAATATCCCGACGAATACCCTACCGATCTTGGCTTCCGCGTCAAAGCAAAGAACAACCATCTCACCAACGGCTCCGCTCTGCCATCCGTCTTGCTTGCAACAAGCTCCATGTCTGGTGCGACGCGCATCTGGAATGCCGACGAACCATTCAAATGCGTCAAATATCTGCCTACCACAGATGGCACACAAGCCTTCAAAACTGCATTTTCCCCAGACGGTTCGCTCTTAGCGGCTGCGGGACCTGATGCTGTCACCATATGGGATATAGAAAAAAGAGATGTCCCAATAGCCTCGTGGCGAGCCAGTGAAACTCCAAGCGACAAATGGAATCCTGGTATAGACGGAGAGTTCAGTCTTGGTTGGGAGCCAGACAGCTCCAGGCTATCCATTGCACTCGGAAATCAGGTATGACCACCCAGCTCAAGAAACACTCATCTACTGACCTCGACACAGATTGCCATCATCACGGTTCCAAGGTAGTGCCAGGGGTCGTCCTTCGAACGGAATCACTTCGTTGTGCAGCGCGTCGCAAAACATTGTGGACCCTCACAGGGTCGCAGCGGCATCGTGCAGGAAGAAGGAAAAACATGTCGGGTCGATTGCGCAGGCGATTGCGGGGGCATTCCGCGCATGCAAGATCGCAAAGAGCGCGAGGCGGGACGCATGTGGAGTCCGGGGTGGCGCCTCCGTCAGATGCGGAGACCTTCGCGCCCTGATAGGCTAAATCTTTCAGTCAAGTCGTCTACCGTGTGTTGAACCCGGCCTTTAGCCTGGTCCACATCTTGACGTCTCGCTAGCGATGGGCCCATTGCTTCGGCAATTGCACCTTACGGCCAACCTTGACGATGGGCGAGGGGCATATTCAGCGGCGTCCGTAACTATGACGGTTCGCTGTCGCCCTTATGTGACCGATGTCTTCTAATCCTTTCTCTGTCCTACTGTATACTACCCACGTCGGAGAGTGTAGCCTCTAAATAAACCTTAAGCATTGGATAGGTGTCGTGCGACAGATCTTGCTGTGCAACTCTCTCTTTCCTATTGACCATGTCGGCTATTCCTAATCTTCCTATCGACACGCCCGGCATCCACACCAACGGCGGTGCGAATGGTGTTGCTGCAGACTCGTCTTTCAAGCTCAATGATGCGCCGGTAGAGAATCTTCGACGTTTGAAAGTTGTCGTCATTGGGGCCGGCTATTCTGGTATCTACTGTGGGATCCGTATACCAGAAAGACTGAGAAATATTGACCTGGTAATCTATGAAAAGAACGCTGGCGTTGGGGGGACTTGGTACGAAAACAGGTAAGAAACACCCATCTCACAACTATATCAGCGATGTCAGTATTGGTTTCGGGTGATCCTGTTGTAGATACATCGCTTGGTCTTTGGTTGTCTCCATTTTGCACAGTGCTTACTGACCTGATTGCAGATACCTTGGTTGCGCTTGCGACGTCCCTTGTAAGCATCAGGTCCCACATTTACCAATGCGTACGCTGCTGACTACCCCTAGCACACTCTTACCAGTATTCGTTCCAGCCGAACCCAAACTGGTCGTCGCTTTACGCCCCGGCAGCGGAAATCCAGTCGTACCTCCAAGATGTCGCGCAGAAATTTTCCGCGGACAGATTCATCAAGTTGCGTCACCAGATTGAGGCATGCCACTGGGATGACAAAACTGCGAAGTGGAACATCACAGTAAAGAATCTTGCCACAGGAGAAGTGCTGGAAGATCAGGCGGATGTTGTTATCTCAGGGAGAGGTAATCTGAATACACCTTCCTGGCCTGAGATAGACGGCCTGAAAACATTCAAGGGCGAAGTCATGCATTCTGCAGTCTGGAACCAGAGGTATTGCGCATTCCCACAGTGCGTCTTGAGTAGCAGATTGACTGAATTGGTTTATAGGTACGACTTCGAAAACAAACGAGTTGGTGTTATTGGCTCCGGCTCTTCTTCGATCCAGATCGTCCCTTCGCTACAGCGTCTACCAGGTACACACATCAGCACCTTTGTGCGTAGCAAGACGTGGATATCACCTCCTTTCGGCCATGACTTATTCGACAAATACGGTTTCAATGGCTCAGCAATTCCCCAAGAGCTCCGCGATCGTTTTGCGAATGACCCCGAGTACTACTACAAGTTCAGGCTTTCAGTCGAAGAGGATGGAAATGGTATCCACGCTGTCACGATGAAGGGAACTGAACTGCAACTCGGCGCAAAGGATATGTTCCACAAGCACATGAAAGAAAGACTAAAGAGCAAGCCGGAAATCTTCGAAGCCCTCTTACCGTCATTCTCACCAGGATGTCGCCGTTTGACGCCAGGCCCGGGCTACCTAGAAGCACTGACGCAGCCCAATGTAGACTTTGTTACATCACCTATAACGCGCATATCCGAATCTGCGATTCACACTGCTGACGGTAAGACGCATGAGATTGACGCTCTTGTGTGTGCGACAGGCTTCAAAGCATCTGCCCCACCTCCGTTTCCATTGACCGGCAGCAAGGGGCTATCTCTTACGGAGAAGTGGGACAAGCGCGCTGTCAACTATCTCTCGCACTCTTTTGCCGGCTTTCCTAATATGTTCACGGTGCTTGGCCCCAACGCTGCCATCGGCTCCGGTAGTCTAACTACCATGATCGAAACAGTAGGCGACTACATCATCAAAGCAATCCGCAAGATTCAAAAGGACAACATTGCAGCCATGACAGTCAAAGAGGCGCGCGAAAAGGACTTCATAGAGTATGTTGATGCATACTTCCAAGGCACAGTCTTCGCCGATGAGTGCAGAAGTTGGTACAAGAACAAAGGTACCGGGGAGGTCGTCGGACTTTGGCCCGGTAGCACACTACACTGCGTTGAAGCAATGCGGAGTCCGCGCTGGGAAGATTTCGACTACGTCTACCTAGACGAACTAGAGGGCCAAGACGTTAGCAACGACCTACATGGTGTGGGTAAGAAAGCGAACAGGATGGCTTGGCTGGGTAATGGATGGAGTATCGCTCAAATGGAAGAAAGGGATCTTGCTTGGTATCTGTACCCAGAATTTGTGGACAAGCCTCTTGCGCCACTGCCGGAGAAGAAGAGCGTTTATAATGTAAGACCGTTTTCATATTGATAAGAGCAGGAGCAAGGATAGTATGAGTTACATAGTTATCGTTAACGTCTTTCGATTCCCAATTAGCACAACAGCACAACGCACATAAGCTCTGGAAACATCTTAGCGTACATCTTATGTGCTATGACAAGGCTAGCCAATTACTTGGTCCCAACCTTATCTACATGCCCCGAGCTCACGCAATATTGAGACTAAGATGATGCTGCGGACTGCAAAGTATTGTTTCTTCCCGTCCGTCAACCTAATTTTACTTTTCATCTCTTCGTATATGGAATAGATCTTGAACATAGCTCGAAAAGCACACAAGGCTGAGAACGCCTGGGGCTTTGCCAAGTCTGCGTGGCTGGAGCGAAGATACAGAAAGCATGTATCATTGGGTAGGATCAGAGTCCCGACCTCGGATGGATCATCTGTGGCATTTCGGTGCGTCTGTTGGGGGGCCGACCCCTCGTATCATAGACCTTTGCAGCAATGATCAAGACGCCTAGGATCACCTATAGCTTGCTGAGCTCCTGTGCTACTTCAGCCTTTTTGCATCTTTCATCTCATCTTGAATCACTTTGCCAACTAAAGACAATATATCATCATGCTGTCTGTCATATTCCTACATTTGTGGCTCACGTGTCTTTTGACAGTCGTCACGCGTACCTCCGCGCAAGACGAAGTCGGATGCACAGGCAATAGTAGCACCTACAATGATGCTGGCTTGGTGGTTCCATTTCAAAACCTCTGCGGCAAAGATATAGGCGCCGTAGTCGACTTCCTGGATCCGACGGACGAACAGACTTGGTACGATTGCATGACTCGCTGCGTCAAGAAAGAGCCGCTATGTTACGGATACGATTTCAGACCTTTCGGCGACGTCAACAAAAACTGCTGGCTCATGAACGCTACGTTCGACGCTGACACGGCGGTGTATCCTGGCTACGTGGTTGATGCCGCCATGTTGGGGCCTGACCTCTTGAACGAGCTGTCTGATGACTGTTTAACGTTAGGATTGTGGGGTTGCTTTCTCAAGAATGGTGGAATACAGAACGAAACGACATCTACATCGCCAGCTGCAAGCTCGACGACTTCTGTGACCTCGACGCCTTCCGCTTCCTCTATCACGAACGCGGCTCCTTCCAAGTCCAACGGTCTTTCTGCCGGCGCGAAAGGCGGTATAGTGGCTGGTATCGTGGCTGTTACGGTGATGCTAGTAGGCTCGCTCGTCGCCTTTGTGGTTGTCCGGAAACGAAAACAAAGAGTGCGGCATGCCCCTGATGCGAGTGCTGCGGAAGTCTCAGCTCAGAACCAAAGGATAGAATTGCTAGCACATAAGGGTTCATACAGCACTGCAGAGCTTGCGAGCCCAGATTCTGTACACGAACTTGGTGGGTCTGGGCCTGACAAGCTGCCTGTAGCGATGGGGGAGCTTATGGGAAGTTCGCCAGAGCGGCATGAGTTAAGTGGCACTGAGAAGCGCTAGAACATATATGGTTTAGATCAAGAATGCATCCTTTCCAGAACCGTTTCCCTCTGTCGCTTTCCCGTAAAGGACAACACGTGAGACCAGTAATATAAAAACCCTTTGCAAGAGCAACCCTTATGGAGGCTGTGCAGACAAGGCTACGCATCGTTCTCCACATTGCGTCCAGACATGGCCCCCAAATCTCGCCCTAGCGTAACATGATCGCCGTTTCTTTGCCTTTACACTGGTGCTTACTTGCCTTCATACTATGCCATCCCAACAGCGTTGCACTTGCGGCAAAACGTTCGCAAATTACACGTGGGACTAATGCGACAGTAAGCAACAAAGGTGTGTGTGCTTGTTGAAAGGATCGGTGCTTCGCTCGTTGTTGTTGTCGCTGCTGCAGTGCGTGAGGCGGAGCTTGTAGGATGCACAGTGCGGCTGAGCTGGAAGCCTGATGGGTGAGCCCTGGGAATCGCCTTATTGTATGGTGGCCTCGGGGCTGAACGAGATTTGTAGATTTCTGCTATTTTCCCTTCTTTTCTACCTTCTCGTGGTTTCAGTCAAGCCTTGGTTGTCGGGCTTGGATTCCTGTGAAGATGGTGCTCCACTCGTTCCTGGATCCAAGAGTTCCTGGATTTGGAAGGCAGATGACACCGACATGTCGGGAAGACGATGGATGTCTCGCGTTTCCTACACCCACCTCACAAGGGGAAGTCAATGGTATTTCGTCGACATGGACGCCGCAAGAATCACAGCTAGATCCCCAAGGAGTAGACGAAATCCAAGGTCCATTGTCAACTCCTGTCAATGGCGTCCTCGAGCCTAGCAACACACAATCCGTCGATCCCAACCTTTCTCAACCTGATCTTACTAGCATCGCGACTACGATAACAGACAACACGGGATCTGCCATGAATATGAAGACAACGATCAATGTTACAGTACCACCGAGCTCAAGTGCCACACTCAGTACATCAACGTCGATGGCGCCAGATCCAGGTCCAGCAACTGTTGGAACTGTGGAAGCCGCGGAGAATGGCCACAACACCAACAGACTCAGCGCCGGAGAAGTGACCGGTGTCGCTATGGGAACCTTCATCCTCGGCGCAATCCTGGCGTTTATCGCTGCATTCTTCCTGTTTAAGCAAAGAAACAAGCACAAAAGTTCCAACGTCAACAGGAAGGATTATCCAAGCTATGGCGACTCTGCGCCCGATCTAGCTATGATGCAATCCAAGAGTGCCAGCAGTCTAGTAGGGCGACATAGTCCCTACGTACAGGTTTCGCAAATACCTCTGCCAGCGCCGCTGGCTGCTCACCCACCTTCTCCAATCCCTGCCACTGTTTTTATACCAGCAAGTGCGTCTCGAGATATCACTGCTTTCTTACCACCTGCGGCAGACAACGAAGAGGTGTGGAACGAAGTCTCTCATTTGTTCGCCTTGATGCATGAGCATGTAGAAAAGTATTACCGAGACGTCAATGCCATCATTACCCCAAGTATGGAACCTGGGATTGCCGAGTTTGGAGCCAAGGAGGTGGACATGGCAGAACTTCTGCAAGAATGTACAAGCTCAACAGCGGCGCTGAAGCATGCCCTCGTAACATATGTACTGGGTATAACGGAGCCGAGGCAGAAAGACGACGTTGAAGGGACACTGTTTCCCAAAGAGCTTTACACAGCGCATGCTGAGAATCATATGAATGTTGTCTCTGGTAAGCTCCTTACATGCGTCTTTCACTTGAGAAGGATTGCAACTAACACCACAGATAGATCCGGATCTCGTAGCAGCTACCTCGCTGCATCGCCGCATATCTGTCTATCTCTACAGCAACATCACTGGCATGCCAAATCGTCGCAGATCTTGGACGGCTCAATCGAACGTTCGTGAAGCGGCGGAACACTTCTCTCTTACTTTCTTCCCGTGGGCCAACCCTACGTCCAGCGACCAAGACAAAGATGAAGATCTTGCGCGCATCATTACAGACACGCTGACGATGAGGATATGGCTCTTTGGGCAGTTGGACACCTATGACTTTGAGTGGGAGGGAGTTGGTGAGAGAGGTATCGTCATCAACCCGAGTTTGTTGAAGCGGAAACGTCAAGAGGGTGACGGCGATGATTCAATATTTCAGCTGGTGGAAGGCGCCATCGTTGCTATGTAGACCGAATGAGATGTGATCTCATTTTTGCGATTGAGTCCTCTAAGTAGTCTTATCAGACGCGAAACGCGAATCATCGATCGCAATTGAAATGCCTTACGCTGTCCTGTGGGGCTCCACCCAGCTAACATATCTCCGTCAATCACTATTGGCTACTTCATACTACGGTGTGCCCAGAAACTGCCAATGCGCATGGCATAGACCCATACGGTATGCCGGTCGCTATGACGACGGACGTATGGATGCCAAGTTGTGTATGGGTGGGCTCATTGCGATTGCGGTGTTGATCGCATATCTCACGCTACGGCAACCTACCATGAAGAACCGAAGAACGGTACAAGTATGCGCTCAGGAGCACATCCCAGAGCGCGTCTACGTGATGTCCTAACCGAGGTGTTGCATATTACTCACGAAGACGATGAAAGCTTAGCGCGAACCGCACACGTTCTGCACCCGCACAGCTAACTCGGGTGGTTATCCAGCATGCCATGTCCAAGGAGTTCCACTACAAGGGACAGCTAGTACAGTGTAAAGCAAGCGTGAACAGATATGGCGACCAGCCCAGCGGTAACAATTGCCGGGGCCTCGGATGGGCCCTCTTCCCCACGCCCGAAAGCTGATGCTTGCAGGCGTCGCGTGGTCAGGCCATCCGCTGGAGAGAAAACCGTGCGATCAACTCTAACATTTTCCAGATGTGTACAAACTGTAGTCTTGACAGTCCAGTCATACCAGGTGTTTGCGGCTTGTGTGGTGTCATACCAAGCGCTTCGTAGGAGCGTTCGGCATCTTTGGGGCCGAGCTGTACCTAGGTAGCTTGCTGAGAGCTCTTCGATATTGATGACACTGTTGCAAGTCGCGCTATAGACCCAACGCGCTAGTTGGAATTTGATCAATTGCGCCTGCCCGAAGGCTAACGTTCGGTCGCGAAGTTGCGGGCCGGTTGCCTTCCTCAGGGTCGTACACATATGGTGATGGCGAAGACGTGCCCGCACTGATCAACCAACACGTTGCTGCACTCATTTACAAAAAGTGATACAGGGCATTTTGGACATTGCCAATTATCGACAGTCTAACAAATTGACGGCCAGATCGGCACAACAGTACCCTCTGACTGGCGTGCTCTGCTAGTGATCCGGAGAAACGGAGAGCATCACAAGATGCTATCCGTATTGGATCATGGTGCCGCCCACGGAAGGAGTGTGGGCCCAGACAGAGGCCAGCATTGGGATGAGCGTCATATTCCAGCCCCCGCAGCGAAGGCACGCGAGGGGTAGGGCAACGTAGCCATCGGCCTGCCAAAGCAGCTGCTCATAAGAGTGCCGTTCGCCCATCTAGCTATTTTGCATTACAAACCCTTCCCTTCCCGCTTCACGCCAACCGCCTCGCCTCGACCCTGGCTCTCTAATACAAACACGAAGCTCCACTTGGACTGACAAGTTGTTCCCCGAATCTTCAGCGAGCAGCTTCAATTTGGCCCCTGCGGCAACCAAGCGTACCGCCGACCCCTTTACCCGGAATTGAGACATATATCTATTCTAGACGTCCGTCGGCCTCTGTCCCGCGTCTTGCCAAACTACGTTTCTACGTTGGCAAAGCTCCTAGACTGTCCTCGTCGCGAAATTCCAGCGCGCCGAAGCCGAGCTCCTTTGCCCCGCCAGACGGCTAGTCCACATCCACAGAAGCAACATGTCCGAAGGAGACGTCAAGCCGCCCAGTGCGCCCGTCGTGGCCGAAGCCCACGAGGTGGACACTTTCCACGTTCCCAAGGCGTTTTACGAGTGAGTTTCTACTGTTTATTTGGTTATTACATCATGTACCAAGACAATGACAGCTGCGGCGTCATCCAAGCTCCAGAGCTCGCGCGAATGGGCGGGGTGACCCCGCGCCGCCGAGCTTTTGGCCGAAGCATCCATCGCGATCGCACTCCAGACGAGGCACCCAGCTAACGCGTGCACTACAGCAAGCACCCGCACTCGAAACCGCATCTTGAGAACCTTGAAGAGTACCAGAAGCTGTACAAGGAGTCCATCACCGACCCAAAAGCCTTCTGGGGCCGACTAGCGCGTGAATTGCTCACATGGGAACGCGACTTCCAAACCGTACAATCGGGTTCATTCGAACATGGCGATGTCGCGTGGTTTTTGGAGGGCAGACTAAATGCCAGCTACAACTGTGTCGACCGCCATGCCTTCAAGGACCCCAACAGGCCTGCCATCATCTACGAGGCCGACGACGCTGGCGATGGCCGCATCATCACATACGGAGAGCTTCTCCGCCAGGTCTCGAAGCTGGCCTACACACTCAAGGAGATGGGCGTAAGAAAGGGCGATACTGTCGCTCTTTACCTGCCCATGATTCCCGAGGCAGTCATCTCCTTCTTAGCTTGCACGCGTATCGGCGCCGTTCACTCAGTCGTCTTTGCAGGTTTCTCATCTGATTCGCTACGTGACCGCATCATCGATGCCGAGTGCAAGGTCGTCATTACTACCGACGAGGGCAAGCGTGGTGGCAAGACCATCAGCACAAAGAAGATTGTCGACGATGCTCTCAAGCAATGTCCTGGCATCAGTCACTGTCTGGTCTACAAGCGCACTGGCGCTGAGGTGCCCTGGACCAAGGGCCGCGACTGGTGGTGGCACGAGGAGGTGGAGAAATACCCCAACTACATTGCGCCGGAGCCGATGAACTCGGAAGATCCTCTGTTCTTGCTTTACACTTCTGGTTCAACCGGCAAGCCTAAGGGTGTAATGCACACAACCGGAGGCTACCTCCTTGGAGCAGCGGCAACCGGAAAGTACGTCTTCGACATCCACGACAACGACGTCTTCTTCTGCGGCGGTGACGTAGGTTGGATCACAGGTCACACCTACGTCGTATATGCACCGCTGTTGCTCGGTGTCGCTACCGTTGTCTTCGAAGGCACGCCTGCCTACCCCAACTTCTCGCGCTACTGGGACATCGTCGACAAGTACAACGTCAGCCAGTTCTACGTCGCTCCCACTGCGCTGCGGCTGCTCAAGCGTGCTGGCAACGAGCACGTCAAGCACCAGATGAAGAACCTCAGGATTCTTGGATCCGTCGGTGAGCCAATTGCTGCTGAGGTCTGGAAGTGGTACTTTGAGACTGTCGGAAAGGAGGAGGCACATGTTGTAGATGTAAGTCGTGGTCGAATACCCTCGTGGATGTGTTGCTGACTGAGATAGACGTACTGGCAAACCGAGACTGGCTCGCATGTCATCTCGCCTATGGGTGGTATCACACCCACGAAGCCCGGATCCGCGTCCCTGCCATTCTTTGGCATTGAACCTGCGATCATCGACCCGGTATCTGGCGACGAGATTCACGGAAATGACGTTGAGGGTGTACTGGCCTTTAAGCAGCCGTGGCCCAGCATGGCCCGCACGGTCTGGGGAGCACACAAGCGATACATGGACACATACCTGAATGTATACCAGGGCTACTACGTAAGTTTGAGGAAGTTGATGATTGAAATGTATAGGTCTGACATGTGCAGTTCACTGGAGACGGCGCCGGACGTGACCACGAGGGCTACTACTGGATCCGGGGCCGTGTCGACGACGTCGTCAACGTGTCGGGCCACAGGCTGTCTACTGCTGAGATTGAAGCCGCGCTTATTGAGCACCGTACGTTGTTATCTCCCTAAAGTCCGATATGCAAATTGCTGACTGCTGCGTAGACCAAGTGGCTGAGGCTGCAGTGGTGGGGATCAATGACGAACTGACGGGCCAAGCTGTCAACGCTTTTGTAGCGCTGAAAGACGGCACAGAGTCAAGTGACCAGGTAAAGAAGGACTTGGTAATGCAAGTGCGCAAGTCGATTGGACCGTTTGCGGCACCAAAGGCGATTTTTGTGGTTCCAGATCTGCCAAAGACACGGTCCGGCAAGATCATGCGCCGTATCATGCGGAAGATCTTGGCAGGCGAAGAGGACCAGTTGGGGGATATCACGACAGTAAGTGAAATTTGTTTAGATTTTCCGTTGGCGATGAAGATTACGCGTACTCTGTGGGATGGAGTTGGCTGACTGCCCCGACAGCTTTCGGATCCGTCGGTTGTTGATAAGATCATCGACATTGTGCACCAGTCCAAGAAGAAATAAACGGCTCTGCTTGGCTCGGATTGAAGTGGTTGCTATGGTAAGCAAGCAGGCGAAGCTCCTCTAGTCTGGCGGGGGCGGACGGCTTCAGTGGTTCTTGGAGGATGACAAGTGCCGAGCAATGGCGGTTCTATAGTGAGACGCATTCAGTATGCGCGCTGAGGCACGACCATGCTGTGTTTGTTTGGGCGGCCGCTGTACGCCCATCTATGTTTAGTGCGAATATCCAGACGATAGGTTCTACGTTCACTCGCCATTTTGTGCGTCGGTTTGTGCCTGCGTGGAGCAACGTGTGGACAAACGCGCGAATGACGGCGCAACGGCGTATACAGATACGAGGAGCAAATGCACGGCGGAGACGGTGCAGGGGAGAGATCTGATAGTTTCATTCGTGTCGCGCCCAGACCCCCCTCCTCTTCCGCGAGCCGGGCGCCAAGATGGTGGCTGGCAGGGGCTGTGCAGACGATTACGACTCTCTATTGTCGCTCGCCATCGTTGACACGCCGTATAGCCTTTTGCCTCTGCTAGCGTTTCTTCTGTATACACGTACTTTTGCCTACCCATGTCTCTCGTTGCGTTGTCCTAGTTTTCGCTTTCCACCCCAAATACACCTTCTCCCTGAGCGGAGAGGCACCGCCACCCGAGAATGCGCATCTTCGGCACCTTAAGGGCCGCCATCACCATCGGCCTTGCCACCATAACAGCCGCCTCGTCCCACGCCCGCCCGCCGCTGCGAAGCATCGCGCTTGCCAAGAATGCCGACATCCTCACACAGACACACCGCGTGACTGCCGTATCGACCTTCGACCTTGCCTTTGACGTCTCCGGGCAGCGCATCCGCCTCAGCCTCGAGCCCAACCACGACCTTTTCGTCGATGGCGGCCAAATCACACACCTCAACGCCGACGGCTCGATAGCGCGGCAGGAGCCCATTGAGCGGCTGCAGCACAAGGTTTACAAGGGCACCGCATGGCTGAAGAGGGGGAACCGCTGGGACAATGTCGGCTGGGCCCGGATAGGGATACGCAAGGACGGGCTGGAACCGCTGTTCGAGGGCACCTTCACCGTCAACCACGACCACCACCATGTCAAGACGGCGTCGAGCTACAAGTCGACGCGCCAGGCCGAGGACCCGGACGTTGACCTGTGCGACCGCGAGTACATGGTCGTCTTCCGCGACTCGGACATGGGTAACTTCGACGAGCACACGGAGCTGAGGAAGCGAGGAGACAACATCGGATGTCCCTCCGACGACCTCATCTTCAACACACAGGAGGACCACCCGGTCTATGCCAGCATGCGCGCCCGCGACGAATCCTCCGCCATGTCGCCATCCCTCATCTCAGCTATGTTCAAGCGCCAGAGCAGCAACGACGACACCCAGTCCGGAGGCAACGGCGCCGGTGTTGACCTTTCCACCACCATTGGCAGCACTGCCGGATGCCCCGGTACCCGCAAGGTCGCGCTGGTGGGTGTCGCCGCTGACTGTACCTATGTCAATTCTTTCAATGGAGACAAGAACCGGACCCAGACAAACATCATAGATGCTATGAACCAGGCTTCCGAATTGTTCGAGAGCACTTTCAACATCTCTCTTGGCCTGGCCAATGTGCTCATCACGGAACCCGAATGCCCAACATCGCAGCAGCAAGCAACTCCCTGGAACCAAGGCTGCAGCGGCCAAATTACCATTCAAGACCGTTTGAATCAGTTTTCCCAATGGAGAGGCCAACAGCAAGATACCTACTCCCACTGGACTTTGCTATCTACCTGCAACACCGGATCTGCCGTCGGACTAGCCTGGCTTGGACAAGCTTGTACAACAGGCTCTCAGGACAACAGTGGCAACTCTGGCGAGACTGTCGCTGGTGCTAACGTTGTCATCAAGACTGGCACTGAGTGGCAAGTCATTGCCCACGAAACAGGCCATACTTACGGCGCAGTGCATGACTGCACGTCCGACACATGTGGAAACAGCGACATTGTCAGCTCACAGCAATGCTGTCCCCTCAGCCAAAGCACCTGCGACGCTAATGGTGGCTTCATTATGAACCCTTCAACTTCCCCCGGTATCTCGCGCTTCTCCGCTTGCTCCATCGGTAATATCTGCTCTGCGCTTGGACGGAACAGTGTCAAATCCCAGTGTCTCACCAACAACCGCGACGTCACGCTTCTCACCGGTCAAAGATGCGGTAACGGTATCGTTGAAGGCGATGAACAGTGCGATTGCGGCGGCACCTCAGGCTGCGAGGGCAACAATTGCTGCAATCCCGAGACTTGCCGATTCATCAACAACGCTGTCTGCGATGATTCTAACGAAGACTGCTGCCGCGACTGCCAGTTCGCTTCTGCCAACACTGTCTGTCGCAATTCTGTCGGAGAGTGCGATCCCGAGGAAACCTGTACCGGCAATTCACCATACTGCCCCGAGGATAAGACCAAGAATGATGGCTCAAGCTGCGGCAATGGCCTTAGCTGTGCCTCCGGACAGTGCACGAGTAGAGATATGCAGTGCAAAACTATCATGGGTAGTTACACGCAGAGCAACGACACATACGCTTGCGATAACAGCAATTGCATGCTCAGCTGCGCAAGCCCAGAATTTGGAGCAAGATGTTATGGACTCCAGCAGAACTTCTTAGATGGCACAAGCTGTACCGGTGGGGGTAAATGTAGCAACGTGAGTTTCACCGAGATTCCTCTCTGCCTCGTCTAATATACTAATATTCTATAGGGTGTCTGCGAAGGCGGCTCCGTCGGTCGAGAGATCACATCCTGGATCGATCGCCATCTTTCCATCGTCATCGGCGTCGCCGCGGGAGTCGGTGGCGCCCTCTTGCTCTGCATCTTCTGCTGCTGCTGGCGTTCCTACCGCCGTCGCTCAAAACTTAAGAAATACGCTGCTGCTCATCCGCCGGTGCCTTACCAGGGCAGCAGCAGGCGCAATCGAGGTGGGCCCACGGGTCCTCCGCCTATGGGCCAATATAATAATGGCTTTGCTCCTCCCCCAGGCCCACCACCACCTCAAGGATCGTCTGGGCCGTGGGCGCCGAATCCGCATGCGCCAAACGGGAACGTCCCAATGCCGCCACCAGTACATAGAAGTAGTGTGCGGTATGCATAGAAGCTTTTTTCTTTCTTAGAACTTGTTTATGAAAAACAATACCACGGTCGTTTACACTCCAGTTGAAAGTTCAAAACTGGGGGTTGAGAGTGCTTTTGCTCAGACTTGCATCGTTATCGGCGTTCTTTGTCTCTTTTGTGCGATTCTTCTTCGTGGGCATGAAGCCTATCGTTGCATTTGGGGAATCTTGTTGTATAGCATCGAAGAAGAGTGAGATGTAGGAACAAGTGTCGATATAGACGCGATGAAATATATCCCTTGTTGTGTATATGTTCGATTCGCGCATTCCACGCCAGTCGGTGGCATGGTTGTACCGAAACTTTCTTGTCCTTCCCTACTTTGACAGTCATGATTTGTACATCGAGCGTCGTACATCGAAAAAGAGGGGGCATGTCCATTTAATCCAGCCTAGGGATATTTAGTGTTGTACGAGGGTTATGCGTCAGTGATCGTACATGGCCAAGCTTGGTGACGGTGTCGGCCGATATTGCTACAAGACTCCGCACAACCACAGCCTCGTCTTTACGGATATCACGGACACATCAGAAGATGCCTGGACAATCGAGCCGAACAAGCATCGGAGGTCGGGGGAATCATGAGGGAGCATGCTAGGTATCGTACAAGGCACCGGCTGCTGGGGGCCGACATCAGGTAGTCATCAACTAATTTCTCCGTATACTAACGCTCACTCAAACTTCAGAACAGTATAAAGTCCCTGTTAATGTTGACACCGATCCTCCATCATTTATCGAGCACTAGGTATCTTCTATCCCTTTCTTTATCACAATACGATGTTGTTGAATTTTGGCCTTCCAAATGCCTGGTTTGTTGTGACACTGCCGATCATCATTCTCTTAGGTTGGATCATTTACACAGTTACATTACATCCTCTGAGTAGGGTCCCGGGACCCTTTCTGGCCAGGATCTCGCGCCTCTGGTATCTGCGCAAGATTTGGACGGAAGACGTTGAGAAGTATGAGAGGGCTCTGCATGCTAAACACGGGCCCTTGATACGGATTGCACCGAATGAGGTGTCGTGTTCTGAGTGAGTAGTAACATGTCTTCATCCAGTTCCTCTATCAGAACGCGAAATTAATCCGCATGCAGTCCCGAAGCCTTCGCAAGAATTTACCGTTTTTCCAACGCGTTGGACAAGTCGGGTTTCTACGAGCCGTACAACACGACCGGATTCAGTGTTCATGGTGACATATTCTCCTGCAAGGATGACAAAAAGCACGGGCGGAGACGTAGAATCGTCAGCAGTATCTACTCGATGACGAATGTTGCAAAGTCTGAAGAATATGTCGACTCGTGTAGCAATCTCCTCGTGGATCGGCTAGGACAGTTTGCTAAGTCAGGAAAACCTTGTGATCTCGGTGAATGGTTGCATTGGTAATTTATTCCTACTGTTCGCTCGGTTAGAGTATCTTGACTAAGACTGGAACAGGTATACTTTTGACATTATTGGCGAATTGTTCTATGGCAGAGCCTTCGGCTTTCTAGATGAAGGAAAGGACCAGAATGATTGGATCAAGTCGCTAGACAAGATGATACCATTCGTGTGCTTGATGGGCGTTGCACCTCCAATCTTAAGGCCGCTGATTGGTATGGGTACCATGCTTACAGCTGCTGGCCAGGATATCAGGAATGGCGTGTAAGATGTACTGTACTTTTTCTTCCACTTATGCACACTGACACATCTTCACCAGAAAAAACATAGGCTCCTCTTCCGCACGCTTGATGAAAGAAGCTTACGCAACCCGTCATGAAGTGAATAGAACGGACATGGCCCAACAGGTTTTCGACATCTATGAAAAGAATGGCGAAAAGATGGACTTCACGTGGGGCGACGTCGAACAGGAATCCTACGGCGCACTCTTTGCAGGCAGCGATACAACTGCTATCGCATTCCGATCGCTCTTCTATCATTTGATGCATAGCCCAAACGTCTATGCTCGTCTCGAGAAAGAGATTGACGAGGCTTTCCAAGAAGGTCGTATGGATCTGCCGCCGACCTATAAGCAGGCAAGCCAGCTTCCTTATCTGTGTGCATGTATCAAGGAGGCGCTCAGGATTCATCCCGGAGCACAGCTCTCCCTACCACGAACCGTTCCACGCGGGGGCATGGAGCTCTGCGGACAATTCATACCCGGAGGCTATACTGTTGGAATCAACGCAGCAGTCATGCATTTTGATAGGCGAGTCTTCGGCCAAGATGCTGATATCTTCAATCCTGACCGCTGGATGGATCCAGTGCGCGCGAACCAGATGGACAAGTACATGATGTCATTTGGAGGTGGAACGAGAACCTGCATAGGGAAGAATATCGCACTGATCGAATTGCATAAGTTGTCGCCGCAATTGGTATGGAACTATCACTTCGAGTTCTACGATGCGGGACAGACGCAATGGCATACAAGAAACACCTTTTTTGCCAGACAGGAGGGTATGATTGTACGGGTAAAAGTTCGCAAGCATGATTAAAGTCCCATAGTTCATCCCTGCATTCTTCGTCCATATTTCAATAAAGGTAGCACTAGACTCATTATCACAAGTATTGTTTGAGTTGATTAAAGCAAGCAATGCGATTCTTCGATGGCTGATTGCAAGCATAGTGCTAGGAAAGGTAGCGCGATTTGTTCTCGTGGCTTACCATCATGCCATTGACCACGGCTGCAGTCTTTTATTACATGACGCAGCAATGCCGAATCCGAGGTCGACCCAACGATGTGCCCCACAGCAACTGCCGTGGACCCTGATCTGCGATGAAGTCATCGCAATAACATTTTGGAAATCACGACGCGTCTCTGACAAAGCAGCAACAAACCTCTCGATAAAAGCTGAAGTCTGATTCAGAGACTCACATATACAGTAATCATGGTGTTGGCTCTTACCAGCGCAACAGGCAAGCTGGGCGGTGCTGTGCTGAACGCCATCCTGGATAACAAGCTCATTGGTCCCAAGGAGCTTGTAGTATGCGTACGTTTTCCCTTTACCATCTTATCGTGTTCAATGCGAGTTTCATGTAGCTAACAAACACTACAGACGTCTAGTGACCCCAACTCGGACCGCTTCAGCTCCCTGCGCAGCCAATCCATCACCCTCCGCCAGGCCGACTTCGATAAGCCAGAATCTTTGACGCGCGCCTACGATGGCTGCACATCTCTCTTCCTCGTTTCTACTCCACGCATAGCTATGGACTACAACAATGCGCCGCTTTGGAAAGGACGAGAGGCGCACCACCGTGCTGCCATTGACGCTGCTATCCAAGTCGGCATACAGCATATATACTATACATCCCTTGGTTTTGCTAACCCCTCGAAAGCGAGTGTCATGCGCGCGCACATCCGGACAGAGGAGTATCTACACGGGTTGGAGAAAGAGGGAAAGTGCAAGGTCACTATCATCAGAGAGGGGCTCTATAATGAGAGTTGGCCGTTGTATTTTGGGTATTATTTTGGGCTGAAAGAAGAAACAAGGAAAGAGGTGGTTGTTGCGGGTGATGGAAAAATTAGCTGGACCAGCATTCCTGATATGGGATTCGGTACCGCGAAGATACTCGCAGCGCCGAGTGAGCAGTGGGCGGGCAAGACATTTTATCTCTCCCAGAAGAAGAGCTGGTCGCTGAAGGATATCGCAGATATTGTTAGCAGGGTGAGAGGTGACGAGATCAAGCTCAAGATCGTGGACAAGAAAGAGTATGAGGACTTTTATGTTAACAGTAAAGGTATGGAAAGACCCAGTGTGGAGTGGTGGTCAAGCTCATATGATGCGTTGAAAGACGGAGAATGTGAGATTGACGATCCAACATTGGAGAACCTGCTCAAGGAGGCTGGGAGGACACCTAAGCCGTTGGAAGAGACGATCGAGGAGATGCTGCGATAGAAGGAAGAGTCGGCTCACATATCTGGCTCCATATACAGACTAGTAGTAATCGAACTCTTCTACGACTATTGTCTGACTACGCTGACAAACATCATATGCTCACACTGCGCCTTCCCTTGCTCGATAACCACTCTTCATATTTGACCCATTGCAGTGTCTCCAAGTCACCGATCCAAAGATATTCCCGTGAATTACTTTGTCTTAGTCCAGGGATCTTCTGCAACCCCTTTGGTCTTTTGTTCAAGACGTTCCCCTGTAGTATGCTCCTTCTATCCAGGTTGACTTGCTTGTCGTTCGTGTTGATATTTCGAGAGGAACAGATCGACTATTCGGTGATCGCGATATCGCAGGAAGCAGTTGGTATTGACTTTGGTATCGTATGAGGAATATCCCAATTCTGCTAAAGCGTTGCAGTACCCAATCGAAACGTTGTTGTGACTAGAGGCATACGCTATACGCCCGAAAGTAGACATGATAATAGTATAGCGTGTAAAAACTCGCGGTCGTTGGTTGGATGCGAAAACGAGAGTGGCCAATTCGTGCTTTGGTGTCGCAGAAGAAAGCAGGGGATTTGTTGGATTTGTTGATGGTGTATGCTATAGGGCTCATAGTTCTCTATTTGTACCGGAGTTACAGTCGGGTTGTTCGATTTTCTGGTGATCTGGAAAGCTAGAAATTGGGATGGTAGTTGATAGAGAGAACAAGATGCTGAGAGTTGCTTTGAAAGAATTCTCTCAAGTGTAAATTCTGCGTATAAGGCGTAAGATTTGAACCATGGGTAGCATAACCATTCAATTGGTTGAGCCCACTAGAAACTATGGTCCAGTCATGGTAGAAGCTTGCAAAAAGCACATGTCCATAACGTAATCGCAGCTAGTACTGTGGTATATACTCATCACTCATATCTAATGTCTACTCGTACAAATATACATGCACCGTCGCTTCTCTTCCTCGGTTCCGTGTTCTTGCTAGTGATTCCTATATTCTCACTCGCGCGGCGCTCTCGTTTCTTTCAGCAACCATACCAAAGCCAAAGTCCTTTCTCCGCTTGTTACCCTTGCGATCACCGTACTGCTCGTCAAACTTTTTGATTGCGCTCAGACTGCTCATGTCTTCGCTAATACTAGCACTGATCTCCTGAAGCGCCTTGTCAAAGTGTCGTGGATGGAGGGTACGCTTTTCGGGGAAAGTGTAGTTTTGACCGCGCACGAGATGTGGCACTTTCGGCGGCGAGGAAGGCTGTTCGGGCGATGTAGAGGTTGTGGAGGTCGTGGATGATTCTGATGTAGGCTCAGGCTCTGCGGTAGACTTGGCTGCGGCAATAGCAGCTTGTTCGTTCTCTTCTTTGACACAAGCGAGAGCTGCAGATACAGCAATGTTTTTGAGATCACTCCCACTGTAGAAAGGCGTACGTTTGGCGAGATCTGCTAGATCAACAGAGTCGTCCAGCTGTTCGCCCTTGAGATGTATGCGCAAAATCTCCTTCCGGTCGGCCTGAGTGGGTAGATCGACCAATAATCGTCTTGGTAATCGGCGAATAACAGCATCATCCAGGTCGAAAGGTCGGTTCGTAGCTACCATGACGAAGACGGAAAGGTCATTGAGGCCGTCCCATTCCTTCAAAAATTGGTTGAGTATGTCGCGATGTGACGTTCGTTCCCGCATGGCGTCTCGGGATGCAAAAACGGCATCTGCTTCGTCGAGAAATACGATGCATGGTGACAGTTTTCGTGCTAACGAGAAAATTGCTGCTACGTTCTTCTCGCCTTCGCCCACATACTTATCCATAATTTGGCTTCCAGAAACTTCGAGCACGGTACTGCCACTCTCCTTCGCGACAGCCTTGGCAAGAAGCGTTTTTCCTGTGCCTGGAGGCCCATACAGTAGTGCACCGGATATCTTCTCCGTCGCCAGGATACCATAGCTGAAGGCTTCGGGACGTAATAGTGATAAAGAGGTGATGGTTCGTATCGAATCGACCGTTTCCGTAGGAACGTGAACTTGATCGAATGTCGTTTTGATCTGATCCGGGTCCGCAATACCGGGCATTAACCGCTTTTCATGTTTGTTGGCTGTAGAAGCTATGCGCTGTAGATTCTGTTGACGTTTTATGCTTTTCTCATCGGGGCGTTTTCTGCTTAGGTCTGCTTGAAACTCTCCATCTAGATTGCTGAAAGCATTCTTGGAGCGCTTCGGGGCCTGTAAAGTTTTATCAAAATAGGCGTATTTGACGGTATCGCTCGCTTTTAGCAAGCCCATTGCAAGAGCAACATGTGCCCAGCTGAGTTGCGCTGGTGCATCTGCAGAGACTTCAGCCACACTTGCTGGGCTCGTGATGAGCAGGCCAAGAGTTGTCAACGCTACCCTGTGTACCTCATCGTATGTCAGTACGTGGTTGAAGTGTGACTCGGAGAATATGGGAGCCCATTCACTGAAGCGTGATGGACTTTGCTCAAGGTCCGATATCGTGGCAGCCGCAGATGGATCTAATGAGCGAAGCATGTCTTGGATGTGGTACAGGTTGATGCGTCGGAGTTTACTCTTCTCTGCTGGTGAGACATCAGCAGAAGACGCAGAGCCACCCCCTAATGATGCAATGGCTTCATCAAAGTTTGGTGTGTTGCTGCCGCCAGACTCAGATGCAATTACAATGGTCCTGAAGAACGTGCTCTCGCCTTCAGTCTGGAGAGCGCGAACCCCACTAAGGCTTGTTAGCTCGGCCATATCAAAGGTTTAAGAACCCCTTACCTGTGTGATAGTTCATACGTGAGATCGCGTGAACATGTGCTTCCTACAATCATGATACTTTCTCCAGCATTACGCCGCTTGCGGACAAGCTCCTCCAGCTTCTGGATGATGCGGCCGCCATAGTGCGTAGCGTTGAGTTGTTTAAAGTCCTTGATATAGATAATTTTAGAAGTGGCAGGGATATTGAGAGTGTTCGACGCTGAGCCAATTTTGACAGCCATGTTGATATCCGACCTTGCCGCAGCTGGTAAGGTAGAGTTGAGTTCAAGCTCAGCACCTTCTTGGGTTAGGGAGTAGTCAAAAAATGCTGGGGTCTTGGCAGGTATTTGTGATTCATCAGAGGAGTGAAGCGGAAAGCCGCCATCACCAACGATACCACGACTTTGCTTCACGTCGCTCGAATCGATCAGCGCATCCAAGAGAGTAGCTAATTTCAAATCCTCAAGTTGTACGTCTGTAGGATTCTGGCTACGCCCAGATTCGTCGGTCAACGTATCAGTGGTTGACCCGAATTGACCTTCTGGAATTCGAAAACCCTTCAAGTTCTGGGTCATAGCGCGCAGGGCAGGTGTGAGAGCGATGATGGAAAGGGGCATAGCACGAGGGCGCATTGAAGTCGGATCAGACTGATCTGTAGACGAAGACTGCGTCCAATCGGCCTCATCTTCGGGGAAAGAGTCCTCTATGTCCCTCACGAGATTGCTCAGCTCCGAGTTCATTCGGTATGTTTCGTAGCCCAGCGAGCGAACTGAACGTGATGATGGTTCAGCTCCTTCACCAAGGTAATCGCCAGCTAAGTGAGCGAGATCTTGAGCACTCAGGACGATGACGTCGGATCCCATTTCAAAAGCAGTAGATGTTACGCACTCATCTATCGAGGCCTCGTGCTCGGCTGTAGGCGAATGGAGTATGAGGTTCGTCTTTGCAGCAGGGAACGAGTCGCTAGCTGCTGGCTGCAACGAGCAAAGAGAAGCAGCGATAGTGGCGCGAATCTCAGCGATGACCAAGGACGATAGACGTCTGGAGCTACCCATCTGCCGGGTCCTGGCGATCTCCCGTTTCCTAGCAGCCATGCCTAACTTGGCACTCTGTTTCCTCATTGCTTCAATCTTCTTGCGCGGATCCATCTCGGTATCGTTGTTTAGCTTGCTTAGCTTAGACCAAGCTTCTGTGAAAGCACTGTCTTCTGTGATTGTGGCTATGGGCACCTCACCAGGTCGTCCTGCTTCGGTGCTGGCAACTGCCTCGTCGTTCCGTAATTGCGACAAGTGGGTTTCGGTGTGGTCAGCTGGGGCAATCCTCTCTTCAAGATACTTGTCGACCTTGAGCTTTTCGTGGTCGTCCAGACGCCTGCTCCACAGGCCACGCACCAGTCGCGAGAGGATCTGGGCAGCGTCTGAGTCGCGTCGAGCGGGGATGGTGCACGCGGCGTGCTCTCCGGACTCGGCATGAGTGACTGCCACAGACAGAACCGTGGGCGGTTTGGGTATCTGTGGATCTCTGGACAGGTCTTCGCGACGTATTACCCTCTGCTTCAGGAACCAGTCTGGTATGTATACAGGCGGCAGGCCTTGCGTCTTCTTCCCCCGCTGTTGGCGCCGCAAGGCAGCCGAGTACCTGCGTGAGGATTCGCGTGAGCGCTGGAGTTTCTGGGCGAGAAGCTCGGGGTCGTCTGGCGCTACTGCGCTGTCTGCTGGTTCCTCGCCTGCTGCCGCCTGGTCTCGGTCCGTCTTGTTGACGTCATCTTGGTCGGCGGGCGTGCTGTTGGGAGCGGGCGGCGGATCCGAGGCTTGTGCGAGGGTGCGGGTGGTATGGAATGGTCGTGGTCGTGGTGTGGATGGGTAGCGGCGACCGCGGATAAAGCGCGCTGGAGGTCGTTTCGTAGACACTCGCAGTGCGCATCGAATCGCGTACATGCGGACGTCGAAAGCACTCCCAGGAATTGGGGAGGGAGGGAGCCTACAGGGGTCGTTGTAGGCTGTGGTGGGCTTGGGACGATGCGCTGGGCATGTTGGCGATAAACTATCGTCAACTTTCTTCCATATTCCCTAAACAAGGGTCCACGGCCAAGCACACGCCGGCTATTCCCGCCCTGCGAGTCTATCTCTACCACAACCCATTGCAATAGACGAGCCTGGCAACTGCCATACTAGTCTCGTCGTACAGACATCGATACTACGTTAAGCTTGCCTGGGTGTAGCTACACTGTATACCACCTTCACGCATAGATTAGCAGCCAATGACGTAGCCGA